TAAAACAATAAGAATTTTTTTATGAAAATTTCAATACAATTTTGTAATCCTACAAGCCACAAAATGAGTAATTAGTGTAATTAAGTTTTATTTCTAAAACAATATATATATATATATATATATAAGTAAAATAAATAATAAATTGCATTCTTTTAGTAAAATAACATTCATAATTTCAACTATAAGGGTTAATTTATTTCAAAGTATACTGAAACTATTATTATATTTAAACACAAGAGAGTACATTCATCCTTATTGCATCAAGATTCCAAATAAAGTATTCCATAATAAATATTTCTGTAAAATGAGAAATTCTGTTCAAAAATATCTTATGTAATTTCTTGTGGAATCAAGTTCAATTCAAATGACAACAAAAATTCAACTGATTACGAAACTTCTCCATTGACGTAGTATTACACAAAATCCTGTTTTAAAATTGCAAACAAATACTATTTTTAAATGAATGGATGTAGTAAATTCATCTTGAAATAAAGGTAAAAAGTTTGAGATTCAAGTTTTGTTTTGGTTTCAAATTTAGTACTTCATGGTTTATAATCTGTTATTAAATGGATGTTAGAGTTAAATAATTCCAAAATTAGAAGGCAAAGATTCTTAAAACATTGTCATTTGGCTTTATTTTCCAAAAAGGAAAAAAAATTAATTTATTACAATCTATTCTTTGGAAAGTGTGGTTGAGTTTAATTCCTTTTCATAAATTATAATCCCCTAATTCTAATGCTAAAAAGTTTTGTATTACATTTTAAATAGTTATAACTATTTTATTTTAAGTCTAAATTACAACATTAGTTCTATATTTAAAGCAATTATTGTACTTAACATCCGAATTGCATCATTATGCCATACGCTATTTTTATTTTTAATAAATAAAATAATATTTTGCCATACATGCGAATTGCAGCATAATGTGATATACTATTTTTATTAGTTTAAAAACATAGCAGATTATCTAATATTTCACTTTGAGTAGAAACTTCCTTGATAATTTGAAAAAAAATGAATACGCAATGAAAGATATTAAGCAGAATACCGACTTATTTTTATGAATAATAAAACTCCGTGCTTATTCGCACGTAGAATGAACCGTTTCCTAATAAAGAAGCAATATATGTCGTTCCTTAACCACACAGCCTTTCCGTCGCAAAAATTACTGAAAAAATGGTTTCCCTTTCTGAAATTTCTCACACGCACATCATGACTAACTTTTTACCGTTCGCTATTATCTTCTTTCGAATCTAAACACATCACGTGCTCCCTTAAGGTCAGGGGAAATTGAGATTTAGAGGTCGAAGACAAATCTCAGTCTTTTTTCATACTTTCTAAACCATTGTAGTCGGAATAGAAACTTTAAAAAAAATTAAACAAATATGCCAAAACGAGAGTGAAAACGTCACGAAGTAGTGAAAAACCAACACGAAAACGCGCCAAGAAATTGTTAGAGATCTAGGTCAGACTTCTTTGTCTGAAAGGAACTTGTCGCATACACAGAGGCCAAACACACCTACTTGGAATATGCGACTTGGTGAATTTTTCCATTTCTGACTTCACATATCACACCAACCGATTCCCTTTGGCGATATTTGAACGGACGCCATGGCGTCAATGCCGAATGCTTAATTTCGGTCATGCTTCCCAAACGTTTTAATTGCGTTAATAATAATAATGCCGCACTCACGTACTTTCCCAGGCCATATATCGTTGCCAAAAAGCGAGAGATAATAAATAATATGGAAAAAAATTTGTGTTTTTCTTCGTGTAAGTCACATCCTTACTCTGCCACCACACCCTTCTGTGAAAGGTCGACTTGAGAAGTTACGTTTTCAGAAATACGTGCGATATATCGTTGGCTGAAATGCTCAATAAGTAGATTCCTCCATCGTAAATACGAGTTTACGCATTTTGATAATTGCGTAGGCAAATCTTAGTAATTGAGCTCAAAGAAATAAAAAAGAAATAAATAATGAAACCTGTTTCACTTTTTTTTTTTTTTTTTTTTTTTATTTTCCTTTCAACGCAGAGCAGTTTTTCAAATGGTTCGTAAAAGTACATTCTCTCAAAAACTCGGGAAAGCTTTTTTTTTCTTTCTTGACCGGTTTTTTTTTCATTCATATTCCTTTGATTATTCGATATCAATTTGTATGCCGCTCAACAGTCAAAATTCAACTAACACGAATTGAATGAACGATAGAGTGTAAATGTGAATCTCATGAATACTAATCTTCAATTACAGAAGGTATTCTGTAAAAGGCTTCTTTAAGGTACTATTTGATATCATTATTTCGGACAAAACCATTTTTTTTGGTTCGGATGAATACTTTGTATTCTTCTATACTTGAATTTATATTTTAGATTCAAGGACATTTCAGACTGCTCTTAGGATTAGAATAAGGCATGTTTAGTGTAGTTCAATTATATTTCATTACAATTTATTCATCTGACTTCAATTTTCAAAATCACGTTGCAAAATCAGAAAATAGTTCCCATATGTTACAGTATTATTACTTTCAATATGCATTATAAATTTTTACCACTAAGATAGATATTTCTCCAAACATAAGGTATACTAGGTATTCTTAATTAGGAAATTTTAATGGAAAAATAATACTGAAAAAGAAACTGTGATTAACATTTTTTTAAAAATATATTACTGATCGAATAGTTTTTATGTAAAGTATGTCGGAGAGCCTTTTTACAACGGAATCTAACAACTTGTGATTTCTTATCAATTTTCTAAGCAATAAAAAAAGAATTAAAAATATACGGCAAATTAACAGTTTAAAAATATTCTTTCTTTCTTATGTTTACTTAAAAAATAATTTTCTTTCGGCAAAGAAAAAAAACAAGATGAAAACGAGACTTCAAAGCAAAGATAAGCTTTCCTTTCAGAAGTATGAAAAGTACATATCCTAATACTTTAACAAGAAATTTAATATATTTTCCAGGGGCGTAACGTGCACCCCCGCATCGCGGGGGCCAATAGCCTGCCTGACGCAAGTGAAGTGACGATTGAAAAATTCAACATGGGGCCCCAAACCGGACTTTGCAGGGGGGCCCAAAAGCTCTCCGTTACACCACTGATATCTTGCCAACCATAAAATAAATGTCGTTAAAACAAGTAAATCAAAAGACTACAAAAAAGCAAGTAAAAAAAGAACATTATTATGCATAGTTTGAACCAATGTTTCTTATAAAACAAAAATTGTGTCTAAGTGTCGAATGTAAGAGAAATTGGCCAAAAACATTCATTTAAGGTATTCGACTACGTTCGGAACCGTGATTTTAAAAAAGTACATAAATGGATAATTTTCATGATATGTAGTGTCACATAGAATAGAAGACATGTATAAAATTGTTTTAAGGACATTACGAAAAAAAATTATTTAAATACAATATTTTGGCAAAAAATTAAATTAGAATAACCTTTATTTAAAATGTTCTCCTTTTGTGAAAAATGTTTCTATTATAATAATATTTTGCTTGTATATAGCTCAGACCTCTGTACAGAGGCTCAACTATGATTTCCGAAAAATTCCTATTACTTTTGGAGTTACAACCAATTGAAATAATTATCGGCGTTTTTTTTTCCTTAAAATTTCTCCTCTCTGCTGTCGTAAGCTATAGATATATATAAACCCACTTCTAAATTATATATTTCAAAAATTCTATTTGAGTCTCTGAGCTATATACAGGCAAAATATTATTATAATAGAAGCATTTTTCACAAAGGAGAATATTTTGAAAATGGATCATTCTATGTTCATTTTTCGTCAAAATATTGTACTTAAATAATTTTTTATTTTAATACTATTCTTAAAACAATTTTATATACATTTTCTAATCTAAGAGACACTAAATATCACAAATATTATCCATTTACACGCTTTTGTAAAATCACGGTTCCGAACGTAGTCGGATACCTTACTGATTTTTTATTGTATTTGTTGAAGGATTTTCAGACTAAATGAGGTTCATTAAAAATCTTAAGACCATTATTTAAAATGATTTATCAAAAAAGGACAGTTTTTTAAATATTCAAATGTAAAGAGATGGGCATCAAGATTGTTCAAAATTTCAATATAATCAGTGCAAAGTGAACTATTTAATTATTAACGTATCTCTTTCGTTATCCTCTAGGTGAAAAATTAATTCCAGAAACTTAAGAGTTGTATTGGAAAGATTAATTAGATGAATTATATGTCCAATGTATGATTAAAGTTGAAATAAAAAGGAAATTTATTAAAAAGTCATGCTTATTTATTTTACAATCCTTTCACTTTAAGATAAAATTGTTCTATGTTAAATATTGTTTTTCATGTTTCATGTTTCATTAGGCCGCGGTAGCCTAGTGGTCAAGGCATTGGATCGTAGCTGACTTGTCACGAGTTCGAGCCCAGTACCACTAAAGACCCGCCGTGTAAGGTAGCGATGCACGTTAAATCTGCCGAGAGCTGGAACGTCCTCCCATGGTGTGGTGTGGTAGTTAGAAGAGGGGGTGCCAGCTCAGGTTTCGTCCTGGTCACTTGACCATGGTTCAAAATTACGAGGTCCGTCGCCAAAAGCTCTCGTGTAGCTGAACAGCGCGACGTTGATATTCACTCACTCACTCATTCATGTTTCCTTAATGGTAATTAAATATTTTTATAAAACAAAAAAACTAGGAAATTGTACAGTTCGAGAACAGTTATTTGGTCAAGAAATTTTGTGCTCCGTATATTAATTCAAAACACATTTTAACTATTTTTTACAATTCTTGCTATTAGTTCACTCTCTTCCTATATTTATTAATATATCTTGTTCAAATTTTCAATTGTTAATAAAATACTTTCTATTCATCCCTTCAAATTCAAATACATTTTTTAAAACTTGTAGTGTATGTTTAAACAGTTTTTCAAATATTAATTCATTAATTAAATTAAAAATGAATAAATAGTAACAAAAATACTAGTCCAACAGCATATATAGAAAGGAAAATTGTTGAATATGTCCCAGTAGCGCAATGGATCGCGTATTGAACCTCTAATCCTAACATCGTGGGTTCGAATCCCACCTGGGATGGCCTGATTTCTGAGAATGTGCTTTCTTTTTTACTATATTATTTTATAAGACTAATTAAAATTAATTAATGAGTAAACAGAGTAAGAAACAAACAAAAATAGTCCAACTCCGTATACAGAAAGGAAAATACAAAAATTGCAAGGAAAATTACTTTCTTATTTGTCACTTAATATTATGATTCTGTCATATGTATATATAAATTTCAATTAATTGTAAATATTTCATAAAAAGCAACTAAAATAAAATTTTCCTTTGTTGACCTAAGTAGGAATTGACTTTTTTTCTTGTTTTTATCTTTCTCTTTCATTCCTAACATATGTACATAATTTTTCTTATATTTTTTTATTGCTGTGAAATATATATTTTTAGGTATTTTTTATTGCTGTGAAAATATGCTCAGTGTATATTTTGTCACCATTAATTTTCCAAATATATTTAATAGTATGAATAAAACGTATAGAGGTTCCTTCAAGTTTTCTTCGGCCTTTTTATTTATAAGCATCAAACGAACGCTTTCAGCTCTACGAAAGCTTATTTACGAATAAATCTGCTAATTGAAGAGATAGAGTTAATTCGTTAACTCCGTAATAGCTGTTAGGAGGAGTTGCTAAATTAAGGTGTATTTTCAAGTTCAAGTTCAGTGAGAAGGAGTGAAAGTTATTACGCAAAATGTAATCCCACGGGAGGATTCCATGTGAGATTAATAAAAAAAAGAAAGAAAAATATAGGTTTGGTGTTCTGTTCTTATTCAGATTACCATACCTGTGGACAAGAACAGTTATATCATAATACAAAAAATAGCTGCTAGGCGTGTAATGAATGGCAAAATAAGAAGAGCTGCTTTGAATTTGAAGCGCTGATTTGTGAGCCTCATAATTAATCCGGAAAATCATCACTTCTATGAATATCTTAACGGTTTAAAAAATAAAAACTGCCAAGTATGTGTTGTTAAACCCTTTAATTTATATCGTAGATATCTTGTTTTCTGTTTGTTATGTTAAAATTGACGTTATATAAGAGTAGTAAATATTAATATTAATAAGAATTATAATGGATGCTCTCAGCTATTATAATAACTTACGATTTATTTATGCGTGTAATAAAATAATAAAATGATTTAATTACATTTAATTTACTTTAAAACTGTATTTAAAACACATATTTAATGGACTGCAATGAATCATGGGAAATAATCATGTGTTTCATAAATATTCTTGTTGTTTGATTCGTAGAACTTTTATCATGTTATATTTGCATTGCATTTTATAATTCCCAAAATTAACAAAATATAAAGATAAAAGATCACAAATGAAAACACTTTTTTAAAATTAAATAAAAAGAACAGATTGCTAATAAATTTGTAAGCATTTTGCAAATGTTTCCACGAGTAATTTCTGTAGGAACATAGTTCATTACAGGACTGTTGTAAAAATACGAAAAGTTTTTTTTACAAAAATATTAATAGTAGTAATCAATTATTTTAGCATTGACATGCATCACAAAATCTGAATCAAAATTACTCAAACAAATTGAAAACTAAATCTTAATATGAAAGCACATATATTTTTATTTTGCATCTCTGCTTATACATCTACTTCCTACTGAATTTGAAATTTATAAACTTATAAAAAATGTTTAATTACCACAAGTTTTTAAAATTTGTTGGAGAATTACTTTATTAAGTTAATGAATTAATTTTAGAAAATACTTTTCAGAAAATGTATCAGCAATACAGCTTAATTTTTGCTGATTCTCTTCTGAAATAAAAATATTCAAGACCTTAGAACAATAAATATGTTACAACTAACAAATTACCATTCTCATGCCGTAAATTACGAGAATTAAATTAATATAGAGATTATACTTCAGATCAATCATTCTGAAACATTAATTTATTAATTATTGGTTTTGATTGAAATTATAGGCAAAGACAAATGCTTTTCAGGCGAAATGATTTACTATACAATTTCCTAATAGAAAGAAAAAATATAACACAGTTCCAATTAATCTTTTATTACATCCATAGGCGTAGCCAGAAAGCAATTTCTTAGAGGTTTTTAATCAGGACTTTTTATTCATTTTTCCGATTACTAAGGTAATTAAATTAATGTATGTAATATAATTATTCCATAATTGTATATTACATTTATTTTAAGTTATAAGATCCATAAATAAAAACTATTTTCTTCTATTAAATGTAATAAAATTTAATTAAATATAGTAATTTAATTTTCGCATCACTGAATTAAATTATTTTATTAGTTTTAAATCATTAATATTAAATATTAATTTAATTAATAATGTTAAATATAAATGTGATTACTTGTATATCAGTATTTCATTATTAAAACAAGGAAACTTTTCTAATTTTGTAAGTGAACCAGTTTAAAATAGAAAATCAAGAGGTTTAATTTTGTTTACTTTATTGAAAAAAATATTCACAATGTGCAAGATTTAAGTCTAGAAAATATTTTTCTGGTCACAAAACGTAACCTGAATTTTTTTCAAAATTGTAAAATCGACGAAATTCTGAGCTGTATTTTGTCTAAGAGATTAATGAAAATCAACACTGCAAACTTTGATGTAAACGCAATCATTTTAATGATGATGGTTAAACATTTAGAGTCTTTTATCATAAGATATTTAATCATTTAAATTTAAACTCATAGTCATTACAAGAATAAAACAAACTTGTTTCAGCTTTGGATTTATTTTTTAAAGAACTCATAAAGAAGTTTAATGAAAATTGATGATTAGATGAAAAATGATATTAGCTTAATAAATTTATTTCACTCGAACAATAAATTTAAAAAGTCAATTTCAGCATTTACTTCTTACTTTTAAGAAAATCAAACTTTTAATTACAAGTTTCATGGATGTTTATAATTAACACGCTTGAAAAGTAATATTTTAGGTTTCCCACATCTCGATTGCGAAAAATTGCACGCATGATACGAAATTACGAAATCTTTTCTGTATGTAATGCAACAGTGTATGTAATCTATGCTGTATGCCGTGTAATAAATAATTAAAATAAAATATATGGATGAACAACAGGACACTATATAAAGAAGGATATTAATGAATGAAGTTAAAAAAAGTACGTCCTTTTGCAATTCATATTTGTGTTACATTTGGCATTTTAAAGTATTTCGAGATATTTTAAGATTTTGGTTTTTATTTTATAAGTTGAAAATAATAGTCTATAAATATACATAATGCTGGGAATTTTGTTGAGTAACTATATGAGACATTATTTCTCCGCTAAAAAAGTATCATGCCTAAAAAATTGAAATAAAAATTTATAGCCGAAATCACAATTTCAATTATATCTAAATTTTTATATGTGTTCTAAAATAAAAACATTCCCTCTTACTTGGGAAATAGTTATACCTCTATAATTATTTCTCAATGATGGATATAATCATATAAATTAACTCTTTCAATAAATGATGTTTTTACAAAAGAATTAAGGAAATGTAAATTATTGTGAATATTAAGTAAAACCATTATGCAGCAAGTAATTTAAAATCCTCAGGTTGTTTTTGAAAGAGTAGGAATATCCTTGATATACTGCTGCAGAAAAACGAAGTGCAAATGTAATAACGAAAATTTTGGTTTTTAATGAATATAAGCATTTGTGTAATCAAACAAGAGTCTATCCAGTGTATGTTACCTTTTAAACTTGATAATAAATTTTCTTGATAAGAATTTTACACTAAACATCTCATTGAGAGTTTTTTATTAATTTATTATTTTTTAAAACTCTATTTTAAAATATTTTTTTTACTTTATTTAATCAATTTCCATTTTGTTTCTTTCATTTTGACTTTTCTCATTTAATTGGCAAATTTTTCGAAATGTAATTTTCTTACAATTTAGATAAATGTCACAAATCTTCATCGCTATAAGTGCACAAAAAACAATGAATGGTATTTGTTTAGAAAAATAATTTTTAAAAATACGTAAAATAAATTTTTTTAAAACATTTTGTAAAGTATAAATTCATACGCATGAACTACTCAATAATGTATTAATTTTTACTTCAAAAGCACTATTAAATAAACTAAATATCGTAAAACAATTGTGCAATTCTGATGTCACAATTATATACTTCAAAACAATTAAACTCTGATGTTTTACCGTTTAAAATTCTTTCAAATATTTTAACTTTTCTCTCACATTTGAGATGAGAATTTCATCTCTTATAAGGAAAGCATGCGTACAGTATGAAAACAGTAATTTGCGTAATTTTGAATAATTAGTTCGCACAAAGCCAGCTAAACGTCTACATTTATTTCTTTTAGGCTATATTTTATAAAATGTGTTTTAAATGAAATAATTAACACCGAGTAATTCTCATTTCTCCAAATAAATTAAACTAATTTATTACTGAAATTTACCATAATTTTAGATCCGATATAAAGTAATTGCTAAAGTAAAGCTCTCTCCCCTATACATGCAAATGTAGTTGTTATCATTGAATTGTTAGTTTTAAATTTTTTTAAATCGAAATTCAGTTTTAAATGTTATTTTCATCTATTTAACCCGAATATTTTTTAATATTCAATTTTCCTAACATTGAATTTGAAGCTTAGAAAGGAATTTTACCTCAATGACTATAAAAAGTACGTTTTTAGTGTTTCAGTTTCTTAATGTAAACAGAATGTCTTCGCATAAAATATCTACAGTCACTCAAAAAAGTATTGGGACACTTTTGAAATGAGAAATTTAACAAATATACAGCGCATCAATAGAATTTAATTTCACACTACTTTTTTAGACTAGAAGTTTAAACACAAATGTTTCAACAGATAAGATTATTTATAGAAGAAGTGGCGAGAAACAAAGATATATCGGTTGATGTGCGAAATCTCGTAATAAGTCGTTGGAAAGAGGGGAAATTAATTTGCTGTATAGGAAAAATATTGATCGAGTAAGTCTACTGTTTTTAACATCGTTAACAGGTTCAAAAAACAAACAGTGCTGAAAACAAGCAA